AACGCTTTAACAGAAAATGGGAATGCCTCTCTTGCTTAACCCTTTACTGCATTGTGTAGCCATATGGCAACAATGATTTGATTTTTTGGCATAAATGCAATAAAAAAAGTCACCTTTTTTCAGTTCTAGTGTCTAAAAGGCTCTCAAAGTGTATAACTCCATATTAATACACAACTTTAAGAAAAATGATTTGATGCTTTAGCCAAGGTGTCATATAAATTGATGAAACATAATTATAGCCTTATGGCAACAGTATACAACAATGGAACTACAATCAATGCATGCATTCTTTACTGCATTGCACACTGCTTTTGGGCACATTGGAAACAGCCATTTTAATACTACAAGTTGATGACTTCATTGATATGATTGTATTCATACTTTTTTATGTTATGAAAAACACCTGTACACTTAGTGTATTGGTTTACTCCCACTGTGTCCAATGCAGATTGTAGTTCCACTGTTTCATGCTGTTGCCATATGGCAGCAAAAAGACCCCTTATTTGTCCAATTTTGTTTAAGATTTTTCTTAATAATGCCATTCTCAATAACAAAAATCATATAAATATTTTTTGTGTATTTTATGTCTATTACCAACTGTGTTTTATCATTTAGCATAAACTAAAAATATCAAGCCAGTAAATATTCGAGAAAAATAATCTTGCTTTAGAAATATGATTTGACAAAAGTACTTGTGAAGTCTTTGTTCAGGAGTCACAGTTTAGGACCGTACTGTAGCATTTGCCCAGCCACTGATGGATGGCACTTGTTGTTAAACCTCAGTCACCGCTGGATGCTGCTGTGGGAAGATTGATGGAGTAGCTTCAGGTTTTATGGGACATCAGGTCATCTGGGACGGGCGTCAGGCCTGAGTGGGCCATATATGTCAGAAAACAACACTTTTATTCAGGTTCTTGAATTTCTTTAAGTGTAATCAGCCTATATATTTATAGTATTTGAGTATTTTGCTCGTGTAAAAAGAATAGACCAGTCCACCTTACAGCAGACCAAGCCTCTTCTTGTTGAGGGGTGTTTTTTGTTTGTTCTGTATTAGTTGACCATAACTGAGATAAACAAGAGATTCTTAGTGTCCCATTTTGCTGAAGGACAACAATTGGAATAAACTAGAGTTCCTTGCTGTCCTGTATTAGCTGATGGATCATTAATACCTGAGTCCACCCTACAGTGGACCAAACCTTTGGGGGTGGGGGGTGAGGTGCGAGGCAATTGTTAAAAGAATACCAGCTGCAGCAGCTGAAACTAGAACAAACAAGAGTTTGTTCTATGATAGCTGATAAAGCATAATTGGAATAATCGAGAGTTTCTTACTGTCCCATATTAGCTGAAAGGCCATAATACCTGAATCCACCTTACAGTAGACCAAATCTTTGGGGGGGGGCGGACAGAGCAACTGCTAAAAGAATACACTGGTGACCACTAGCTTGGAACAAAAAGAACAGAAAATTTTGTCCTATATTAGCTGATGGACCATAACTGAGATCAACAAGAGTTTCTTAGTGTCCCATATTAGCTGAAGGATCATTAAAGGGTAATTCCACAGTTTTTTTAAATTTCTGCTTAATATAGTGGTCGAGTTGTCAACAAAATCATTCAGAGTGGTTTGATGTGAAAGGGCTCATTTGTAGAGAAACTGATTACTACTTCTTCACAGTGGTGCTGATAGGAACCAGGGGTCCGGATGTCAACAGTGCAAATATAGCCATTTTATTTACTACCCAAAACTACCCGTTAACCTACATGTGCCTTCAGAGTTTATATATGTAATGCTGATTATGGAAAAATAGTGGACAATCTGAAAAATTTTGCCTTAGAACATCCTTCATGTATTCATCCACCAAGGATGGATTAAAACAAACTTATTAAAATACATTTAGACCAAAACTCTATCACAAAACTACCATAAAACATTGCCTCAGACATCAGGCAGTGTATTCATAACCATTTTATTATATAACTTCCTGCGGTGTAGCTTCCTCAGACGTTCGTATCACCACCACTGTGAACAACTGTGACTCTGTAAGTTTCAAAGGGTTTCACACCAAGCCGCTCTGAATGATTTTTCTAATATGCCAACCATTTAATTGTGCAGAAAGTTTAAAAATCTGGTGGAGTTCCCCTGTAATGCTTGAGTCCACCCTACAGTGGACCAAAGGAGGGGGCAGCTGAAACAAGAGCAAGAGTGTGTCCCATATTAGCTGATGGACCATAACTGAGATAAAGAGCTTCTTAGTGTCGTCTATTAGCTGAAGGACTATAATACGCGGACCCTCCCTACAGCGGACCGACCCTCTGTTGCCTCACATCTGCCTCGCCTCGGCTTGTTTGGCCACGCAGCACATTCTAAAGAAACGTGACTCTTGCTCGTCTTTTGACAGCGCGTGCATCGCACTGCAATACTGTAAACGCCGCGAGCCCCGCGCGCCAGCAGAGGCATCCGCGGGCCTTTAATGCCGCGTTTGCGATCGCCGTACGCGCCTGCACGAGACTGCGGATTTCGCGCGGCCGCTAACCGTGTCACGGGTCCATGTGAGGCGGCGGTCAGGTGTCGTGCCGTGAGCCGGAGCTGGGCGCCGTGCCCGAGGAGCCGGGGCTATTATTGGAGCGCGAGGGAGGCGGCAGGACTCGCGGCCACGTGACGCCGGGCTTCGCCTCAGCATCAGCCAGCGCGCATGTGCACACAGTGGCGTGCGCCGGACAGAAGCTACAAGAGAAAGTGACGGCAGCGCGCAGCAAGGCTCGCGCAGTTTTGATGTAGTAAATAAATAAATAAATAAATAAATAAAAACAGGCTAAACGGAATGCGAAGCAGCTGTTTTGCGCAATGAACGGGCTTTGTTGTCTCACGGACGCCGGATGGGTAATTGGGCAGTCTGGGCATCGCGATTCGCGAGCTCTGTTGCTGAGCTACCGGTGTTATTTTTAGCACGTGCGTTCGTTTCGTCTGAGCGAGCAATTATGCCTGTTACAGGCAGAGCGTGAGGCAACGGTACTGAAAACACGAAAGTCTCTCTCTCTGTCTCTCTCTTTCTCTCTCTCTCTCTCTCTCTCTCTCTCTCTCTCTCTCTCTCGTGCAACATTACATCACTTTACCCTGAACTTAATGACTCCTGAAATGCAACGAAAATCCTGCCTGACAGCAGTTTGGAGCAGTTTGCTTCCCCTCACCACTGTTTAACTCCACTACTGAAACAACAGTACCTTTCCCACTGTGTGCTAATTTCACAATGACGCTATGACAGTTTACCCAAAGCCACAGCCCCTGTGTTATACATCAGAGGTATCCAGTTGAACTTCAGCCCTTGCAAGGCTGGTGTCCAGCACCATGTGGTGATTTCACTACCTAAACCAACTAGTTCAATCCATTAGGGGAATTCTGCTGATTTTTACAAAATTTCTGCATTCTGAGTATTTTATTGTAAATGGTGCATTGCAGAGAAACTGACTCGAAGAACCAGAGTTGTAAAATCAGTATCGCAAATGTAGTCATTGTATTTACTATCTAAAACAACCAGTGAAGCTAAGCGCAAGTTTTTATGAAACACTAAAGGTAAAACAGCAGTAAATCTAAAAAAAAAAGCCGTAGACAGTCTTCTTTGGATATTATTTTGCCCTACAACACACTGCACGTAACTCTCTGCCATGAATCTATTTAAAATAATATGTTTTTGGCCAAAACCTCATCTCAATACTATTATGAAACAATGTCTTGGACATCAGGCAGTAATAACTTTTAGCGAGGGAGCTTATAGAGGCGTTAAATTCTTCAGAGGTCTGGTTCCCATCACCACCGCTGTGAACAATTCTGACTTTAAAAACTTTACAATGCTGCATTTCAGATCAAATCACTCATATTAACCATTATGGAGAAATTCGAGAAATCCCCTATAATTGCCAGAGTTTTAATGGGCGTATTTGAGTAGGAGAATGACTGAACTGTGCAGAACTGCGGCCCTCCAGGACCAGAGCTGAATACCCCTGCCCTACACACATAATGAAAACCCTCATGTTACTTAATCTTGTTTACTATTGCAATATCTATGGGCAATGTATGCAGCTCTACTCCTTTGTAGCCTCCTTAGGACAGCGGTGAACGGGACAGAGGCAACGCTGTTCTAAGCAGGGCTAACCAAACTTAATACATGATAAGGAGTTAGATATAATATAAATATGTCACAACCAGTCATTGCAATACTTTCTTCTCTGTCTAGCACTGTTAGCCATGTGGGTTTATCACACTCTTGAATCACGCCTTATCAGCATATCTGATGACCCAGTTTTGGTATGGAATGTATAGCTGAGATGTACCGTTCTGATAATGAAATAGAAGTCAGTGATGCTTGCAAGAAAAGTCCGGAAATGACAGCGAATTCATAAAATGGCAAACTGATACACAATACGCCAGTCAGCAAAATACCTATTAATTACTAGGTACAGCATACAAAATTGCCACGACCCTATCTGGATTCAGCGGTTAAAGAGGTTTAAGATGAAGAAGGATGATTTTTGAGCTGATTACCAAAACCTAGACTAATCAGAATCACCACTGACACTACATGTAATCCAAGAAGATTAATCCATGTCCAACAAACTGGTCCCTCAAGTGAACTGTGCATTTCTTTTGATGGAAGCAAGTAAATATAAAATAAAAACATTTTTTGACATAAAGAAAGTAGAAGTTGTGCTTCTTTTTAATTTCAACACAGCCACCTTTGTGGAGATGTGAATTGTTTTCACAGCTGAGCGTCATCATCCTTCATTTTTAACCCATCATTGCTCACTAGCAGCTCAACACAGTAGTCACAACATTTCACACACAGAGAGCCAACAATGTCCTAATTAATCTGATAAAGGAGTTACAGAGAAAATCTTTGATTTGATTATATTCATTAAATATGTCTAAGTCCGCCAGCAGAACGGCCACTAGGGGGCCTGCAGATAGAGCCAACACACTGATGTATCTTGCTTTTGTACCATTTCAGGAGGTGTTATACTATATGCTGGCTCCAACGGCAGTGCCAGCCCTAGCCCAGGAAGTCCATCCAGTGGGTATCAGACCCAGTCGCCCTCCTCACACTCCCAGCCTTCATCCCCAGAGGAGGTCACCTTCACCGAGATTGGGGCTCTGAAGCAGCATGGTAGTGGTGGGACACCCCCATCTCCCAAACTGGTGTTCCAGTTCCCCGAGATCTACAATGGCTCCACGACAGCCTCCGGCCAGCATTCTTACTCACACCCCATCGCAGGCAAAAGGCCCTGTGGATTCACTGGCACCTTTACCAGTAAGCATCTGGTTTCACTGTTCTTAAGGATAACAAGGTCAGTCGTAACAGTGATAAACTGGTTCATGTTTTGTTTTCCTAATCTCTTCCTCTCTTCCTCTCCCTCTACAGAAACAGGAGGCATGGTTCTGCTGTGCAAGGTGTGTGGTGACATCGCATCAGGATTCCATTATGGTGTGCATGCGTGCGAAGGCTGCAAGGTAAGCCAGACTGATGCACTATACAGCTATCGTTCCCAACCCTGGTCCTCCTGTACCCTGGAAAGTTTAGTATTTTAGTATTTGTCACACTCTAGCACAACAACTTCAACTTAAGAAGGGATTTTTGACTAGCTAATTTGTTGGATCAGGTGTTTTGGAGCAGGGAAAACACCACAGGACCAAGGTTGGGAGCCAAATTGAAGCTCCCCCAACTGAGCCTTACATCTAAACGTGCCTCATGACTTCCACTCTCGCCAGGGTTTTTTCCGCCGCAGCATCCAGCAGAACATCAACTACAAGATGTGCGTGAAAAACGAGAACTGCCTGATTATGCGCATGAACCGCAACCGCTGCCAGCACTGCCGCTTCAAGAAATGCCTGGCTGTCGGCATGTCCCGTGACGGTGAGCCTTGCTACCACCACAGTACTACCAACACAGTGCCACAGTAGGGCTTCTGAAGGCACAGAACAATCAGGTCCCTCACCCCCCTCTCAACCTAGATTCCCCATTTAGTTTCTGCACCGTTAAGAAGTTTCAGGAGAGTAAGTTTCTTTTAGCCTAGGTGCAGGCTTGCTGCTGTCTTTCTCTTGCCCTTTGCAGTCCATTCTCCTCTTCCTTCTTCTCTCTCTGAGCTGCTTTAGCCTTCCTCCTGCAAACTCCCTAAGCTCACCCCTCCTCCACACCCTTTCCAGAGACAATGATTTATGAGGGCTGGAGTCATGCGGTCCCTTAAGCTATCTGTCATCTGGAAAACTGCAGCAAATACAAGAATTATTTTGGGAAATTGGAACACGGGCAACTTGATTACCCTGCGTGTGCCCTTATAATATCTCCGGCAATTAATAGCCTGCTGCTGCAACAATTAAGCAAGAGATGCAGAAAAGGAGATGAGGCTCTCTTCACAGCCCCCTCAGTGGAACAATGCTATCATCCATTTCCTTTTTCTGTAATTTAGCGCCAGAATAAACATAAGTCAAGGCGTTCTAAACCACCTAATTTAATGGCTAACGGCAATATCAGCTCAGCCCTGAAAACAAAACAAGACACAAATATGACACTTGCACATTGTGACCTACTTAGCGGGTTTGGTTGCGGTTCTTCTCTTCTCGTCAGAAGCTGTCAGTGAGCCATAGGGCACAATCAAGATGTGTGTGAACATGTGGGGTAGAAGTGCGAGTGGGTTTACATGGGTTATGATTGGGCACCGGGGAAAAATGGGTGAATGGGTGCAACACAGGAGGTAAACATTCCTGTTGACCCTCTCTATGTTGACTCTTGAGAGAGTTGAGAACCACAACCTAAAAACCCCTTTCTTTCGTTGCACCCATTGCACAAACAGGAAAACCTCATGTAACTGCCTTGTTGCCACATTAAAGCCGGCGCCCTGATTTTAGTTCAGGCAGTTGTGTGATTTTGGCTTTGTGATAGAGGCAGATGTTCAGTTTGACACGATGGCATGGTTTCACTTCCGCCGCCACCTTGCCATTTGAGAAAACCAGTCGTCAGGAAAGGATTAAATGTGTCTAACAGTGTTCTGCCTTGGTGGAGCATAGTTTGAGTATGGCCCTTACAGTTGGGTACTCATCTATCACAAAGGTGATCAGTTGATAAGAGGATGTAGAAGCCAGTGGTGACAATACTTCATCTAATACTTCCCTAATCTTAGAGATTCTCAGTTTAGGTCTCTCAGCTCTGTATATTATCTAGTTTTTTCAAACCTAGGTTTTGCAATAGTGAAGAAACACTAGCCAGCTTTTAGCCTGCACACCCAGCACCCTCTACAGCCCAAAGAGGGTGCTGAATTTCCCTTTCTTCATCTAACCCTACTTTATCATGTACTGCTCTCATTTACTTTTCCTCTCCATTGCTCTCTTGTCCTTCCTTTTCCCTGCCCTCTTCTTCACTTCTCTCTTCTCGCCTCATGTGCCCTGTGCTCTACAGTCTCTAATGGCCATCAGTCTTCCTCCCCATCACCAAGGCATTCTTATCACGTTCTGCCTGGCCCACTGCCCTACTTACTGGTCGAGAGAGGGAGAAAAGAGAAGAAGAGAGATGAAGAGAGAGAGAAATAGAGGGGAGGGACATAGAGATAGAGATTGGGGGATGCAGCATATGGTAGCATGAGTGCTATTTTTAACCTAACCAGCTGATGGATATTCTTAGAGAGGGGGTGAGGAGACAAGAGGTGAGGAGAAGAGAGGAGAAAAGAGAGTAGAAAAGGTTCTTATTAAATGACGAAGAAGCCAGCACCATTCTTTTGCACACTGTGCATGTACCCATATCTTGCATGTTGTATGTGCATTTATCGTATGCTATTTCTCCTGAACTCAGTTATCAAAGATACCATTTTCATATGGGTGTTCCATTTTTCAATCCAAAACTAGGCTCAATCTGTGTCTAGAAAGCGGCCACCTAGAGTGTCGCAATTAGTTGTATTTCACACTTAACTCAATGTGCCTTTGCATCTTTCATAGCTGTGCGTTTCGGCCGTATCCCTAAACGTGAGAAGCAGAGGCTGTTGGACGAGATGCAGAGCTACATGAACAGCCTGAACGAGTCAGCAAGCATGAACATGACCTCCTCCCCTCCCTGTGAGCCCTCAACAAGTCCCATAGAGATTCAGCCCAAAGAAGCCATCAGCTCCATGGCCAGAGCCTACCAGGACATCTTCCCAGGTGGTCAAGACCATCTGAGAAAGAGGGTGGCCAGCATCAGCACCAGCAGCAGCATGCCAACCTCCTTTCATAGCTCCCCTTCTCAGGAAAACAACTACACCCACACCAACCCTCCTGCAGTGTACCACTCCAGTGCCCCTGTGGGGTACACAGCACCCTCTCTCTGCCCTGTAGCCCACAATGACAGCAAATGCCCACTGTCCTCAATGGACAACGCTCGCTATAACTTCCCTGCATCCTCCAATCAGAACCACTGCCAGTCCACGATCAGCACGCCTCTGCAGCCCAACCAGGCCAATTACAGCAGCAGTTATTCGGCTGGGGAGATGCAGACCCAGACCTTGTGCCCATGGAAGCTTGATGCAGGCTCCAAAGTGCTGGTGAGTTGGCAGAAATGCTACATTTACTTTGCAACAGGTTTCCTTTGAGAGGAGAGACAAAAGCAGAAATAACATGGTTTTGTACAGAAATGAAAGGGTTGTAATTTCCTCTGATACAGTGATTCCCAACCTTGGTCCTAGAGTATCCTTGCCCTGGACCAGGGCTGGGAACCACTGTACCTCTTTTCAGTGTCTGAGGGTAGGCTTATATTTCACCATCCTTCTTTACTTCTCTGTTATCCAGGCCTGTCCCCTGAACGCATGTCCAGTGTCGGCACCAGGGGTCTCCAGTCAGCAGGTGTGGGAGTCTTTCTCACAGTGTTTCACCCCTGCAGTGCGAGAGGTGGTGGAGTTTGCGAAGGGCATCCCAGGCTTTCAGGACCTCTGCCAGCATGACCAGATCATGCTGCTCAAAGCAGGCACTTTTCAGGTACAGATGACTCATTTTAACAATCCTGTATCTTTCATTCCAATCTTCCTACCCAAGCTGTCTATGATTACTTTGCCTCTATATCATGGCCATCATTGTGCAATCCTCTATTCTCTTGCCAGGTCCTGATGGTGAGGTTCTGCTCACTCTTCAACCCAAAGGAAAGGACGGTGACTTTCCTTAATGGACAGGCCTACCCACTTGCTACCCTAAGAGCGCTGGGCATGGGCTCACTACTGGACGCCATGTTTGAATTCAGTGAGAAGCTGGCCTCTCTAGGCCTGGAGTCTGACGAGATGGCACTTTTCATGGCGGTGGTGTTGGTCTCTGCAGGTAAAGAAAAAACAGCTTGCTTACAGCTTATGTGACTCATTACAGCTGTTATAGCTCTTGTGAGTCATTGTCCATTGTCCTTGAAATTAAACAAAAAAACTTTCAAAGCCTCTCTAGAATGATGCGTTTCACATCAAATCACTCTGAATGACTTTGTTTATATCTTAAAATTGTAATTATGCAGAAATTTTGAAAAATCAGTGGAACTGGTCAGGGTCAATTAAAGCAAAGTTAAGATTATCCTAAATGGTAGAGAGAATCTGTAGTGTGATGCTTGTTCTACTATGTGAGAATCATCTTTGTTCTAAGATGCTTTCAGGAAACCAGTTCAGGTTTAGTAGGTGCTTGAGCAAGGAAATCATCAAACTGTGCTAGACTATGGCTCTGTTTTAGAAGAACATAACAACTGCTAGAATAAAAAATATATAGTTGTGACCTGAATGCCACTACACTTTTTTAAGAATAATTCATTGCACTTGAATGAATGCCTGCAAATGGGAACATTATGCAATTTTCAGTGGTGCATAACTTGTCATGGTATTTGATCATGATGGTCTCTTCACAGATCGTACTGGCATCTCAGATACGTCAGCTGTAGATCAGCTACAGGAGGGTCTGATCCGGGCACTGCGCGCCTTGGTGACTCGTCGTCGCCCTGACGACAGCACCCTCTTTCCCAAGCTGCTACTGCGCCTGCCGGACCTGCGCACCCTCAACAACCTGCACTCAGACAAGCTGCTGGCCTTCCACATCGACCCATAAGTTGTTCACACCAGCAAACCAGCCACAACCAGCCATGACTGGCCATTTAGAGCAGGGTTTCCTCTGGTTCAGAGGAAGACTGATCATTTAGGAGAAGCAGAGAAGAGTGGATGAAGCTCTCGTAAGAACATTTAAACTTTTGTGTCAGAGAGGGCATCAGACACAATTGGAAAGACAGTCATCTCAACTGGACTGAAAGAAGAGTGACTCTCCTTTTTCTCAGTACTTTCCATGACTCTTAAGAACATACAAAGCACCCCAAAATGTTTTCCAAGTGTCATTTCTTCAGAGGGGAGGGTGTTTCTTATTCATGTCATCGCTAACCAGCTTAACGATAGAACTGTCAAGGGACTTTTTCCAAGACCAAAAAAAGAGAAGTTCCTGTCTGGATCATTCCTCATCTGTCTTCTGTTCTTTGTCCCAGCACAGTCCTTCAGCCTACAACCAAGACCACAATATAGAGTAGAAGAATAAAGTATAGGGACCATTTAATGCTGAGTTTCTATGTATGTATGTGCCTGTGTGCAAGTGAAAAGAAAAAAAATGACCATGTACATAACACATAGATATTACAATGATTTAACTCATGTCATGTAGAACTCCAGTTCCAGACGTTCAAACATTATTCAACATGTGTAACCTGTGTTAATGTGAGTGACATTAAATAGCACAGTTTCAACTGTATCAATGAGCACAAGCACTCTAGCTGCAGCTTTAGTTTGAAAGAAGTGAATGGAAGTAATATCCTTTCTGGGATAGTATAATGCAAGTCTTGTATTTCATTTACCTTTTCTGTTATATGTCAAGTTGAATACAGTACATTGATTGTTGTTACTTGTTCTCCTCCATGGTTTAATCCGAATCTTGGGAGATGAAAACCAGCAGCCACCCTCCTAAACCCCCCAAGCATGTTGAGTTTGTAGTTGCTTATTTTTTCTGTTTTCTTGCTGTAAATATTGTACACCTGCAGGTATGTTTGAAGTAACTGTTCGGTACAGCGGGCTGGGATATCAGAGTCGAAAACAATATTCATCAAATTTATATTTTTGGAAAGTTATGTCTGGCGGAGGTGGGGCTTTGGGTGCCTTTGGAGTAGATGTTGTTGTTTATGTGTGTTTGTGAAAGAGAGCCCTCACCAGGTTGGCCGAAATAAGGAAAGATCAGATTATCCTGACACCAGCAGAGTCCTCTCACAGCCTTTACTGAGATTTAGAGGTTTTTATCAAGTCATTTGGACTGTCATGTGGAACATTTGATTGGTTGAGATTCTTAATGGTTGTTAAAACAATGCTATATGATGATGCTAATGTATATTTTGTAAATTGTATTCTTCCATAGACACAAGATAAATATGAAATTATCTATAACATGGTTTGGTGTATTTTTTTCCAGGCAATGTTATTCTAGTCCCTATGTGTCAAATACAAGGCCCACAGGCCAGGTCAGGCCCGTGGCACAATCCTATTGGGCCCACAAAATTATTTTAATTTTCTATTAATATTAGCCCATTTCACCATGAGCTGCACTACAATTCCTAGTATGCACTGCAACATAATGTGTGCTCCCACTCCTACCCCCTCCCCAACAAAGATCTATGGGACAGCACAATCAAAAAAAGATGCCAGGTCTCTTGTTCAAGCAAAAGGGCAGTTTTAAAAAAATTACTATGCACTGGGGACATTTGAAGAGGTTTAACGGTTATATGTAGCTAATTTAGTCTATTGTTTTATATAAAACAACTCATTTTTTATTTAAAATTATTTTTGAGCTGTTCAAGTATTCAGTGTCTATTTTTGCTGTCATAGTTTTGGCATACTTTGAATAAACAATAGCCAGTTGGGGTCATGGCAAAATGTTAAATAAAAATAAAATAAATACACAGCTGGCCCAGAAATTTGTTGAGGTTTTTTAATATGGCCCTATTAGCGGTTGAGTTTGACACTGCTACTCTAGTCAAGTCAAGGCTTTACCACAACTGGAAATGTCTCAAACACAGAGAAGTGATTGATTTTCACATCAATGAACCAAAATATCACAAAATAAACTATGACAGAAAAGAAATAAATTCATATTTTTAAATGAAAGTGAAATCTATGTTTTAAAGCAAATAAGCATAGTCTCCATAGAAATTTTGTATCATTTTGCAGTTAGCATCACATCGATATTAGGACATTTAGGTCTAAGTATTTTTTCTCTATGGAAAAATTGTATGCCGTTTTTGAAAATCAAAGTGATCGTGCACTGTAGTGAACTGTTTCAATCCCCAAGACGTTTTTTGTGTCCTACATACATTTTCCACCTGAATGTCACTGGATCCTCTGAATCATGAGGTTGTTAAACAGTAGAAATATGAACACTGCTACATGTGCTGTACACTGAACTGAAATTATACACAAACCAGCAAGCTTTGTCAAAAGTGGTAGTTGATTTCACAGCAGCAGCCAACAGTTTGAGTAGGCAGTGCTGTTATACAAATGACATGCTTGTAGCATGGAAGTAGCATTTTTTAAAGGGGCATTCTGGGTGTTCTAAACTGTACATACATTATGCAAATACATCATATAACCATTGCCCCCCTACGGGAATAAAGATGTTTTTTTACCGTTTCCAAGCATTAACATCAACTAACTGGCTTCCTTCTGCTGTAGTCAGATGTACTTATGTATCGGCCCCAGAGTTCTTCTAAAAAAGTTTTTCAAAAGTTTGTTTCACCTTCATGATACATCATCTGAAGTGGGGTTCTTTGTGTTTAAACTGAAAGATTTCACCCTTGGGACTACAGTGGCACAGCTGTTTACAACAGATGCAGCAATGATTACATTTTCATTTTGGCCAGAGTGTTGTTTTAAGAGCGCATGGTTTAAAACTAAACAGCCCTAAAAGATTTCTGCTAGTGCCTTGTGCAACCTCACACAGTGATTTGGCCATTTGTGACCGGAGCTTTAATGCCACTTTGTGGAAGATGTTGAATAGCTCCCCTACTAGCAATAAGCTCAAAATAGCGCTTCCCACTCTCTACTGAACCCCATGCGTTTTGACCAGTTGTAATGCCCTGAACATGCGGGGTTTTACAGAGAACGAGAATGGTGTCTCAGTCATTCAACTTCTCGGAGCTAAATTTAGGCCAAATTGTGGCAGACAGATCAAGGTCACTAAGCTATTGATTCAAAAGAAGACTGACATTTTAATAATTAGTCAGCTTATTCAATATACACCCACTGCTTCTGACACACACAGATATTCTTTGGCAGATGAGAAACTATCAAGCTAACAGAATGACTTACCCAAATAGCAACGAGAAAGTGATTTCATACTAGTTTTTTGTTATCTGGCTGCTTAATGGAAAGAGTAGATGGTTACATTTCACTCAGAGTGACCTCTTTAACACCAGGCTTAATTTTTACCTACTAATCTTAAGGCTTATTATCCAGTCACTACCATGAATTACTCAGTAACTACTATGAGGCGCCAATTTAAGGCACGTAGTTATGAGAGTGAGAAAAGGATATCGGCACCTGTCAACAGATCCGGCATTCCTTTACCCCTTAAAATCCCAGGCTATTACATACTAAGGCCTATTATTCAGTAACTACAGCGATTCCAAAGCAAAGTGGTTGATCTATACATAGGTTACTGAAGTGTGTGTAATAAATGTACTTAAAAAACACTTGGCAAATACCAAAACATGTTCTGTGGTTGGAAACACGTAAGAGTTCAAAAGACAATGGCCAGACTTGTTCAAGCTGACAGGAAGGCTATAGTAACTTCAATAACCACTATTTACAGCATCTCTGAATGTACACTGAACAGGCTACAACAGAAGACCACATTGGGTTCCACTGTTGTCAGCCAAGAACAGGAATCTGAGGCTGCGGTGGGCACAGTCTTACAGACTACAGAAGAATAAACTGAAGATTAGAAAAATGGCTGTTCTGATGAATCTAGATTGGTGTAAAATTTGACGTAAACAGCATGAATCCACGGACTCAACCTGCCTTGTGCGAACAGTTAAAGCTGCTGGTGGTGTAATGATGAATCCATGCCACAAAGAATTCAGGCCGTTCAGAGAGAAAAGGGTTATATTTAGTATTAGAATGATGTTCCTATTGAAGTGGCAGAAGAGGCTGGTGAGAGTACATTAATATGCATAAATTTGAGTGAGAGAGAGAGAGAGAGAAAGAGAAAGAGAGAGAGAGAGAGAGAGAGAGAGAGACCTTGACAAAACTGTGTCATGCTGCCACCATGTGACCATGCACTGACTTGCAATGGTCTACTGAGGCCTTACCTCTCTCTGAAATTCAGTTCTCTAGCTCTATTTCCCTTGAAATAAAGTTTCAGTATAATACGACACCTACTTATAAACATACTCCCGCCTTTTTCAGTTAGAGGCTTCAAAATGTATAAATTACTACTACACCACTAAACCAATCGAGTTTTAAAAGCAGCAATGTATTTGTCAGGGGACAGTGCCTATTAATAAGCACTATCAACAGAACTGTAAAAAGGGTCAGAGCTAGCCAAAAAGGCTAATTTTAATCTGTTTTCCCTGGTTAATGTTCGTTTATTTAAGAAATACATTTCAGGAATCCCTGATTCCTACACAAAATAGCCTTTATGTTATAAACACACTGTTTCCTTACCCATGGTCCAATCACACGGGGCTTCTTGGGTTACTTTTTAATGGAAGACATGCCAGATAACAACAGTTTAGCTAGTTAGCGACGGCTAGTTTCATTCCCTATACTAAATATTCTAACGCTCAACATTCCTGATGCTACACGTTACCTGACCTATACTTACTCAGTACGAGTGAATGGTCCATTTTTATCTGTAGTGAAGCACAAAACAGACCAATTTAAATGTTTTAAGGGTTAAAAAAAAAGGTTCGCTACACAACAGCAACTTTGTAATGACCACTCACTTAGAAAATCAGCTAGACAAAGCAGACAGACAGCAAAGCTAACCTGTCAACATCCTCAGCCACACACTCCTGTGACGTCAGTCGTTGTGACGTGGACACGTCGTTTTGCTCACCTAAGGCGGAAGCGCAGACGGACTTGGTGCTAGCGGCTAATTTTTATCGCGTTATGATAGCATGGAAAAAGTGTTTTGGTGTAAACAAGCACAACAAGTCTGTTCAGAAACCGTGTACCGCGATAATACGAATCTAAAAGACGAAACTACTGTTTTTACCACGGTTGACTGCAGCGTTGTGGACATTTGCAGCTAGCTGGTTGGCTAACGGCGTCTGGCTGAATTGCCAACTTCACAAGGTAAATTCAGCTCAGCCGTGCGTCTCACTAACTCAGCTAACTGGGCTTAAGGCTGTAGTTTTACTACTACAGAGATGTTAGCTTATGGTAGCTGTCAGTGTTTGTTCCCTCAAACCCATGTTTTTGTGAACGTGCGAGTTACAAGTCGTCGCTGCCCAAAAGAACAAGTATCTCAATTCAGTTTTCGTTTTTCTTCATCATTTGAGCACAGAAGCTGACTTTTACGTTGTGTGAAAATGTCATGAGTGGACCAACAAAAATGTTCCTTTACATTAACTTACACTGAAAGTAATTGAAGTGTTTGTTTTCTCCTTCAAAGTTACCATTTGGAGATACTTGTTTTTGTTTGGACAGCCATATTCATGTGGTATGGGCTCTTTCATTGGATGGTTACATTTCTCTGTTGATGGCCAAATAAAAATAAATTTATTTTAAGGTTAGGCTTTTAATTCTTACCATGATGTGTTCTGCATCTGTTTATAGCCTCTTCTTCACAACATGAATCTCAATGGAGTAAGACTGTGAAGAAGAAAATCAGGTGGTGGGGTGGATCAGGAGTTATCCAGAGGCATCTGAGGTCTGACTGCAGTCTGCCATGTTTGTGACTGCTTACCTTGCATTTGTGGCCTTGGCGGTCCTGTGTGTGGGTCTGGAGCTCACTGCACGGCGCCTTGCTTCACCACAAGCCACTCAAGCGACAGTTGCCAACCCAGCTTTCCGCCGGTTCCAGAGGCTCTTTCTGAAAACCTACCTGCTGGCTCTGTGGGCCGACTGGCTGCAGGGGCCGTACCTTTACAAGCTCTACCGCCATTACAGCTTCCTGGAGTCACAAATCGCCATACTGTATGTGTGTGGGCTGGCCTCCTGTGTGCTGTTCGCTCCTGTGGCTGGCTGGCTACCCCAGGCTCTTGGACGGAGACAGACCTGCTTGCTCTTTTGCGTAGCCTACTCTGTCTGCTGCCTCACCAAGCTGTCACGGGACTACTTTGTGCTCATTCTGGGCCGTGTGCTTGGCGGACTCTCCACTTCCCTGCTGACCACTGCCTTTGAGGCCTGGTATGTGCACTGCCATGTTGATGTGCATGATTTTCCCAAAGAGTGGATTCCTGTGACATTCAGCAAAGCTGCAGACTGGAATCATGGACTGGCAGTGGGTGCTGGACTAGTGGCCAATCTGTTCGCAGAGTGGCTGGAGCTGGGACCTGTAGCCCCTTTCCTTCTTGCCATCCCCAGCCTGGCTGCCTGTGCTTGGCTGGTGTTTTCTGAATGGGGTGCAGAAGATAAGCTTGAAAAGGGAGAGGGGGACAGAAATGGCCCTCTGCTTGGCCTTCCAAACACACCTCAGGTACGTGTATCAGCTCAGGCCCGTTTCTGGCGGAGCTGCTTGGAAGGTCTGCGATGCCTGCTGGCGGACCGCCGCGTCATGCTTCTGGGTGGGGTGCAGGCACTCTTCGAGAGTGTCCTCTATATCTTCGTTTTTCTGTGGACCCCAGTGCTGGACCCTCACGGGCCTCCATTAGGCATTGTGTTCTCCTGCCTCATGGCGGCCAGCATGGCGGGCTCCATGCTCTTCCGTCTAGCTACGTCAGCCCGTTATCGGCTGCAGCCTGGCCACCTGCTGTGCTTGGCTGTGCTGCTGGCCTTCTTCTCCTTCTTCATGCTGACCTTTTCTACAGTGCCAGGCCAGCCCAGGCCTAAGGAGTCCCTCTTGGCTTTCCTGCTACTGGAATTGGCCTGTGGGCTCTACTTCCCTGCTGTGAGCTTCCTCCAGGGCCGTGTGATTCCTATGGAGCGTAGGGCCGGGGTGTTGGCCTGGTTCCGCCTGCCACTCCACCTGCTGGCCTGCTTGGGGCTGCTGGCCCTCCATGGGGAAGTTTCAGGCACTGGAGGAGGAGAGGCAGGCAGTGGAACAAGGCACATGTTTGCAGGGTGTGCTGCGATGATGCTGGCTGCATTGCTGGCTGTGGTGAGTCTCTTCACCCTGGGGAGGAATGACACAGACCTACGCCTCGAGGGGACCAAAGGAGAGGGGGAGATTTAAGGAGAAGGAAGACTGTAGTTATTATTATCTAAAATGAAGTACTTTGTACAACACGACTACTTGAAGTCCAAACAATATTTACAAAGTGCTGGACTAGATAGCACTTGCCAAAGCTGATGTTACTTTTAATTTTCATTTGTTTGGTCACTTCAGGGATGGCACTGGGATCACCATTGCCTTTCTTACGTATTCCGAGTCCAGTTTTGTGAGAGTGAATCAATGACAATGTGGAAAATTCAACATTTATTGTTTATGCCCTTTCTATATGGGACAACAATAAAATATTAGTGCTGCACTGTTTATTTACAGTACAAGTTGTTATGACTCTTTTTAACTTACTCACGTTTTCTGCTCATTATCATAGTAGTCTGTAGACCTTGCAGTGGATTTGTTGGGCTTCAGAAAGTATTCAATTTCAGCAACTTTCCCTGCTTCTCATTACAGTAAATTAAATGGTGGTGCAAGGTCATGTGTTTTCCAACCAAACACTGAAGTTACATTCCATCACCATTAGCATAAAATATCTAACTTGCATCTTCTCTAAACAATATTATTTCCTTTGTTTGATTGTCTAAAAAGTCGGAAGGATCGAAGTCACGTGAGGTTAAATTCAAATTGTCTGACATCCTTTGATGTTTTGTACTATTTTTAGATGGTTATTCTGTTTGACCATGGTATTCAGCAACTGTGAAAACATGAAACCATCTGACACATTTTGAATGTAAGAAAGAAGTAATACTGAATGTTTAACACTGGACTTATGAGGGTTGTCAGGTATTCCGAGCATGTGTCCAGTTGTGGCTGTCAAGTATTAAATAACATTTTGTTCAGTGATCTTCATAAATTAGATAAAAATGATTAAATATTAAAAGTGTAGCCTTTTGCCAAAATGCCTCAGTAGCTCATGCATTTGTTCCTGAATCTGCTTTTCAAAGATCCAACCAAACACTTGGAAAATTCATCAGAGCAAAGACAGTGTAGTAGGTTTTTGTTACAAATGGCAAATTATCAAATAGAATAGGTGACCACGTGGGCTGAAATATTCATTTGCAAATTGTGTGGCTTGTATTACCACCAACAACAACAACCAACTCTGGATGCAGAACTCTGTTACTTTTTTTAGTGTATCCCTATTAAAGCATTTGCTTTGGAAATGCAGACTGGTTTTATAGTGACTGGTGTTTTTCACTATAATTGTCCTTTTGCAAGTCCTTTTGAAACAGCAGAAAAAGAGACTGCAAATACAGATTTCTGTTAAGCGTTTTCATTTATTGTAATTGATGGCAACTGAACCAATTAAGGCTTATGAACAAACATCGTAAAAAGCACCGTAAATAAATGCATATCATATAAATATAAAAATAAAAAATAAAAATAAAACATCTGTTGTGAACTATAATGGCCACAGTAATGTTCAGTAATTGTTTGCTTCTTTAGATTCTGAGGGACACCTGTACTGTTGGTGGAGGCATTGCATGACATTAGTGATTTACACTGTTCAAGATGTTCTTAACAAAGTGCCTCATTTTGTCATTACAGACGTGAGTTGGGGGTACCTTTCCTCAGTTATTTATGGCTTATAAGGTGGTATATGATGCATTCTTTATACAGTGTAGTGTACAGTGGTAGTGGTACGTTCCTCTGAACAAAAAAACATTTCACCTGACATTCACTACTAGTTTTCATTAAGTCAAAATTACTACTGAATTTCATCTATTAGCTTTTTTTAAGTTACCTGGAGCAGAAAAATGCACCCTTAACAAATAGTAAAGTTAAACTTTTTATCTGTATCTTTGGTCAAATATATTTCCAATGGTCCATATTTTCAAGAGTTTGATGTGCTAATTAAACTTCTTTCAAACTATCTGTAGTCCTATTCATTCATTGGTTTAAGCCTTAAATATAGCCATTAGTGTATAGTTGGTGTTTTTCTATATATTTTTGCTTTTAATATTAACAGACCTTCAGATTTTCTTTAACACTATCCTATCATCTTTTTTGTGTTTTGGGAAATAGCATTTCACTGTACACCTGTAGAGTCTTTAATCAGTGTTACTAGCCACATTGATCATGTAAATAAAAACAAAAACCCATATCCAATATCAAACAAATAAATGAACAAAATGACAACAACCAAAGCCACAATCAAACTCCCTGAAACTACGTTCAGGTGAGGAAGAAATTCTCATTTTTGAGATATTATGTGAGCAGGAATCCTAAAATGTTCCTTTAAAAAACACTGGACATCCCTGTATGGCAATGTGTCAAAATTCAGTCATGGTGTACCACACCACTGCACATTTTAGAGTTTTCCCTGCTCTAACACAGCTGATTCAGTCCATGAAGAGCTTGTAGAATCGGATGTGTTAACAAAAACCTTAAAACTACAGAACTGGTGTTGGTCACTCCTGGTGTCTAAATCCCATTGAATTGCATGCCAATCAAGCATTTTTGGATGTCCACAGTTTATTATGACCCCAGCACTAGTACTTTTTAATGACCTTAGTGATCTCTACAAGTACAACTCAGCCATCAGTCTCCATTCATCCAGATGCCAATGCTGATGAGTTACATTCTACTAAAGAAAATTCTAAGTGCCTGTGTGCTGTGACCTACACTGAGTGAGTGAGAACAAATGTGAATTCCTTATTAAGTTTGGCAGTATCTGGCTGCAGCAGAAATAACGTCTCTTTAATTGTCAGGGTTTGAATGGGAAACCCTAAATCAACAGTAGATTAAAGTGCAAAAGGTGAATGCCTAAAATATATAATACACTTACTACAGTGTTTGGGGGTTTCATGCTATTATAGGTAGGCATATGATGCTAAAACAGCCCACATGGGAGGAATCTGTAGTGCTATTAAATTGGATAGTGACTTTTCAATTAGCTGACTATAACCAGGCTGTAGGCAAGCTACAAATTAAAGAAAATCCATGACCTACTTGGTAAACCTTGGGGAACCAAAATTAGAAAAAGAAAGGAATGAAGGCATTGATTACCAGAGAATGTGCTGTTAAGAAGGATTCCTTGTCATGGAATGTTCTTATTTTCTTTGTTCAACCAGATAATAGTGTTTTCTCTGCACAGCGTATTTTTCCTGCTGCCGTAAAACATCTGGTACAGAAAAGTTGCAACATCACACAAATACACAGATACAGAACACAACAGGAGGGCATTCACTACATGTATTTCTTTTTTAAAAACCAATAGGCAAAATAGCCCATCCCCCCTAGGGACCCCATTAAGAAGGAGGCCCCAAAGAAGGACGGCGGCTTCTTTTTTACCATTCGGAATGCATTGGGTAGAACTGCTGATAGTAAGGTAGTGTGGATGTCTCCCAACACCTTGCGGAAAGCGTAGCGCTTCTGCACCCTCTCGAAAAACGACTGGAGGTTGGGTCGACTCCCATCCTCCCAGTATTTCTTTGAGAGTCCCAAGAACTTGAGCCTGTGCAACGTGGCCCCGAGACATATATCAGCTAGTGTAAAGTCAGGTCCACAAAGCCACAATTCACACTTTTGACCTGTTGGAAGGCAGGAAGAGCACTGTCATACTGTAGAAGTTTACCTTTGTTAATGTGGCACAAATGATTACCATTTTTAAAGTGGGAATCAATGTTTTCAGTCATAGAAAACAAATTTGGATGCAGATAAATGTATAAAATAATGAAAAATAATATGCTAGTCCTGTGCAATGTCACAGATTTCAAATAATTAGTAGGAAGCTAGGATTTCAGATGTGTTCATCTGTGCTTTGAAATGGCTGAGAAAGCTCTATAACAGACAATTAAGTTATAATAAAATTAATATCCAGAATTCCTCATATTTCAAAAGTGGTGATCAAATCTCAAGGCAGATAACCTGATAGGAAATAGTGTGAATATATACAATATATTACAGTATATCATTCAGCATTTAATAACGTTGTTCCTAAAATACTTGAAATATTCAATAAAATTTCTAAAATATCTAGCTGGTTTCCCAGACTCAGATTAAGCCTAAGCCTAGACTAAATAGGATGTTTAATGGTGAATCACCATTGGCACTGCAATTTAGTCTAAGACTAATTTGTAATCCATGTGCATAACTATTGGTGTTTAGTTTGTAATATTTAATTTAACATTGTGTAATTTATTATTGTACAGAATAAAACAACAAAAATTATTGAGATGACAAGTGATCCAAACTTTTGAACTGCAAATTTACACATTCTGACAATATGTATCGAGACAGACTTGTACATGGTAAATTATTGATTTCATTTGTCTTAAAGCCATAATCAGTAACTGCTGCGACAAGACAGTCTTTTTCTCTGACAGTAAATTCATGGCTACTGCTGGAGCACCGTGGTGCTATTTCAGCAAATTCTGTTTGAGCTTTAATACTCAACTTAATGAACTAGACCAACATGGAAAGTAATGAAGCAGCATATAAAGATGAAACTTACCTTGATATTCCAGTTTTCTCTTCTCAAGTTCTGCTTCAACTTGGTCTAGCACCATTGCCAACTCACCAAGGATCTTCTTCAGGTAGTTCACATTGTCATGGTCCAAGATCTTTGCCTGGCAGAACAAGTTGAATCTGTAAAAGCATCCACTCTACCACAGTCTCCAACATACACAAATGTGCCTCAAGCAGCCCAATTCTGTCACAATTACTGTGACAAAACAGTTGCAGTTTTGTCACGGTTTTCCAGAAGATGATAAACTGTGCAGTAGCCTTTTAAACTGAAATGCTGTCAGACGTAAATATGATACAAAAACATCCACTGATAATTCTGACTTTTTAAAATTTGTGCATAATTTGGCCACTGAGATGTAAACAAAGTCATTTAGAGTAGTTTGATATAAAATGGTGCATTGTAATGTACCGGCTCAGATTTCTTTATAGTGGTGGTGATAGGACCCATGGGTCATGATGTCTACAACGCAATCTAGCCATTTTGTTTACTGTCCAAAATGACCGGTGACCCTACATGTGTGTCTTCTGAGCTCTTAGATGTTATGTTGATAATTGTAAATATAAAAAAAATCTGAAACATATGTTTTCTTTGGGTACTATTTTGCCATGCTTGTATATTTTTACCTCAAATGTATTTTAAAAAGGCCAAAACCTTTTCACAAAACTACCCGAAAACAATGCCCCAGGCATCAAGCAATGTTTTTATAACAATGTTATTAATGTAATAACGATCTCTGAGGTGGCTTTTAGAGACATTAAACACTTATCACCACCACTGTGAAACAATTCTGCTAAGTTTCTCTAGAGTGCTGCATTTTACATCAAACCACTCTGAATGACTCAATTTTGCTGAATGTTTTTAAAAAATCAATTCCCCTTACAGTAAACATCTACACAGATAAATTATTGTCAATTTAGCCAATTCGCTTTACTCATTTTGAAACAAAGTGTAAATAGTGTAAAAGAAGTGTTATAAAACAGATAGTTCTGGTCCTAAAATCTGATTGGCTAAGCTGTGTTTAAACTGTTGTAAAATACACGATATACGCACACCTGTGACCGCCTCACAACAACTAAACTGTGTATTACTGCACTGCATCAAGAAAAATCCTTGTTCCGGTAATAATGGAATAATCTTTGACTCTAATGCTGCTGTTTTTGTTTAAACTGAGGGACTGACAGGCTAAAAGATAGCAAACATCCATCATCAATATCACAGGCTTAAATTAAAGTACTTATGATTTACTGTAAAACAGCAATATAAAGACTAAAAATGTCACTTTAATAGCTTACACACTTCAAAGGTCCATGTTTCAGTCAAATCTGCCTTAAGATGCATCAAACCCAGGCTGAATCTCAAACGGCTCTGTACTCCCTAAATAGTGTGCTTTGGAAGTTAAATAACTTAAATTCTAACTTCAACTGCCAAATAGTGCTGTACTTGTCGAATATGGATAAGGCTGAATCCCAAATGACTATTTTTAGCTATATTGTGCACTGTCAGGGTGCAGGAGCCAGTATTTAAATTCCTACATAGTGCACTACATAGGGAGCAGGCAGCTATTTGAGATTTAGCACCAGCGTGAGAAAAGAAGCGCTGTTACAATGGTGCGAAATAAGACTCGTGGTGGTAAATAAGCCTTGTGGAGGTGACCAAAAAGTATTTATAAAGCACAGGTTTTTAGGTAATAGTCTTTTTTAAAACTCACCATGAGTTTTTTCTGCTTGGAAAGGTATGGCTCTGTCAGTTGTGGTTCCTCATGGTCTAGCTTCATCAGTTCAGATGCTGCGTTGGCCAAGTGTCCTTAAAGAGACCAAGATCACAGCATTAGCTTCATACCTTCACAGTCACCAGCACTGCTTACCAAGCTTTCAAAACCAGTAACTGTGCTTATCTAGCATTTCATTTGAAATCCTTGTGAATAAAAACCACATGGAGGTGAGTGTAGACTTGACCAGAGTTTATTAGCAAATAAAACCCATCCAAAGCTTGGGGACACCTAGCTTTTCACATTTCAAAAGATGCCAAACTTTTGATGGGAGGTGACCACGCTTTGAAATAGAAGGCTCAAAAGTAAATGCTGGTGTTCCTCTCTGGATTAATAACAGCTTTAGGACTCTTGCTGAGGCTTTCTATAATTGCTAACAGTGCTGTGGGCACATATGCAGAAGTTACAATATTCAATATTTTCCTCCAAGTTTTAAACAGACTTGACAGCTAATTATGGGCTTTAATAAGATTTTTACAAACGAAAATCAAATCCATTCCTCTGATAAACATCATCCAGCAGACGGAGTCCATCCAACAACATTTGCCATAAAGGAGATTTATTAGGAGTTATGCAGGGCTTCCCCGACCTAATTAATTCCATTGCAAGACTTCTGGCTGGATCACGTCTTTGACCTTGATTTACTGCCCTGCTTGATTGTGTAATGCTTCAGCAATGCGGTTCAGAATGAATAAGGCAGATCTAATTTCAGAGGCCTCTACATAAAGCAGCTAGCATCGTAGCGTTCTTTTGCAGCTGAGGTTTCACACCAATGCAAAGTCAACACTTGATGCTGCTCTGCTTAGCTCAATGCCCTGGTAAGGAGCGTCAGAAGAAAAACACAGGAGGACACCTTCATTTGTGTTTTCTGCCTAAGACTCAAATTCTGCTTTCTGCTACAACATAGAGCAGTGGCTAGCCATTAGGCTCGCAAGCCAAGTTCACACCTATCTGACAAGACAAGATGAAATGGTTTTAAAGTGTTTAAAAAGGCTGATGTGTGAACTCTATAATTATAGAATGCTGTACGGTGCAGACTGGAGTTGTAAAACACCCACTGTCCACTCTATTAGACACTCCTACCTTGTTGGTCCAACTTGTAGATGTAAAGTCAGAGACGGTAGCTCATCTGCTGCTGCACAGTTTGTGTTAATCATCCTCTATTCCTTTATCAGTGGTCACAGGACGCTGCCCACAGGATGTTGCAGTCTGGATATTTTTGGTTGGTGGACTACTCTCAGTCCAGCAGTGACACTGAGGTATTAAAAAATCCACTCAGACCAGCACAACACACAATAACACACTACCACCACCACGTCAGTGTTACTGCAGTGCTGAGAATGATCCACCACCCAAATAATACCTGCTCTGTGGTGGTCTTGTGGGGGTCCTGACCATTGAAAAACATGATAAAACGGGGCTAACAAAGTATGCAGAGAAACAGATGGACTACAATCTGTAACTGAACTACAAAGTGCATCTATATGATAAGTGGAGCTGATAAAATGGGTAATGAGTGTAGAAACAAGGAGGTGGTTTTAATGTTATGGCTGATGGACACGAAATTTTTATGATAGAAGAATAAAATGACATCTGTCCACATAGTTTACAGTGTTTATACTGTATTTTTTCCTGCCTGCCATAAGTGGTAGTTTCCAGAAAGCACTAAATTGTGGCATCACTTACTACGTATTTCAGCAGTGGCGTACTTTGGGATCATGGAGTCAGTGGTGAGTTCGGGGTGGAGGATGCAGCCATGCGTATAGGCGTCCATAGGCAGGCCATCCAGCAGCTCTCGGTACTGCTGTACCCGGGCACGCATAGGAGTGCCTTCATCTGGAATAAGCTGAGCTACTGTATCTGTGGAAACACAAACATACATACACAGAGTTTGCACGGTTATGTCATAGACTGCAGCAAACATGGAGCTTCATGTCAACTTGTCTGTGTGGCCCAGCCTTTAAAAAAAGATGATTATAAAATGGATAGTTCTAGTTTCAAAAATCTGACAAACTAATGTTAACACATTATACTGTATGGCTGAAGAACTCTTAATTGCACTTATCATAATTATTAATAAATTTAATTACCTTAACATACAATACTGTGCAAACATTTTAGGCAGCCGAGAAAGCTGTTTACCCCCTTAAAATCTCAGTCTTATTACATAATAAGCAGTATTATTCAGTAACTACAGGGGCTTTATCGCGAAGTGGTTGAGCAATTCTTAGGTTATAGAAGTGTATAATAGAACTTTGGGGCTGCCAGCAAGCCCTGGCTGTGTAAGGAGTTAGAACAATTTATCTTGGCAGTACATGTGGTTTTGCTATTAAAAGTTGTATATGACTTCAGAACAAAAATAAATCAAGATAAATACAGTAACACAAGACTTGTAAGAATGCCTGGGTTCGATTCCCGGCCAGGCGACTGGGGTCATTTCTGTGTGGAGTTTGCCTGTTCTCCCCGGGTCTGCGTGGGTTTCCTCCGGGTACTCCGGTTTCCTCCCACAGTCCAAAGACATGCAGTCAGGCTGACTGGACATGCTAAATTGCCCCTAGGTGTGTGTGTGTGTGTGTGTGAATGTGTATGTCTGTCTGCCCTGCGATGGACTGCCTTCCGCCCAATGACAGCTGGGATAGGCTCCAGCACCCCACTGCGACCCAGAAGGATAAGTGGTTTAGATGATGGAGCTCTCTGAAGATATAGATAGAACCAGCAGCTGAAAAAAAAGGAAGAGTTGGGGCTTTCCAGCCTGTCTTCACCATCTCTGAGCTTCAGGAAGAGTGGAGAGCCAGGAGGCACCTGGCTGGGCTCCAGCTTGCTGACTAATCAGCCCCTGCCCCGCAGGCTGACCTGTACATCTCCACCAGACTCGGGGGCAGATCTGCCGCAACGCAGCCTCAAAATACAGCAACCGAACAGTCCCTCGTGTCACTGTGCAAGTTCCTCTACAACATGAGTCATTAACTCCAGTCCTGGTGAGCAGAAAACCTGCACATGTTACTGTTTTCCTAGCAATGAAGAAAAAGTTTGGTGTCGGACATTTGCTTCCTCAGTTTGTTGCTCAGACTGCACAACAAATCATATTTTTATCATAATAAACAGTTACATTGGTAGGAAGAGCATTCAAAGTCCAACAAGTGTTTCCCTGCACTAGGCTCGAGCCATGCTCTCCCACATGGAGAGTGAGGAACGTAGCCACTCAGCTAAATAGCCAGTTACAAAACGCGCATGAACAGCTCAAAAACTGCTCTACCCTTAACTACAAATCTCTAAAAATGCTTCAAACTTGATGACTATTCTCACTCTTTCTTTTCTGTGCGTCCTTGTTCAGCCTTACAGTGCACAAAAATGTGCTTGCAGTTCTGATGTAGGCAGTTTTGTATTGTTTTTTGCCATTTGCTTAAAGGTGAGGTTAGATTTCTGTTTACACAGAAAAAAGGCTGTATTGTGGCATATCATGTCAGAGGCACACTATTGTAATAATAATTTATAGTTTTTCATTTCGTCATTGTGATGACCACTTATCACCTGTATCATACTCATTTCATGTCCTGTGGCATTAGCTCTCAAGCAATGTATGCAATTAGCATCATGCTAACCCCATGCCTGAATCATTACACACTTACCTGAAACCAGTCTTCAGGTAAGAGCTGATTATGCCGTTTCTCCCATGCTGGCTATTCAAATGGACAAAAGTATGAAAGTTCAACATGGCTTTTACTGCTGTTTTAGCTACGCAACAAACTTTTGACCATTTTTGTTGATAACAGTATGTCGTACAGTATTAGAAACCACGTGTTTTCTCGATGCAGTTTATGGAAAGTGTGTGATGACTTAGGCATGCAGTTATTATGATTTAGGCACGTAGTAATTGGTGGGGTGTACACTTGTTAGCTACATTAGCCTCACAGCTCCAGTGCGAAACTAAAGAAACAAACATGTCTTGGCTAATCGTCTACTTTTAGGCTGAGGAGAAAAGTGTTCCACCTTTATGCTGAACTTATCACTTTATCACACGCAAGCCTATACAACTCAACAAGCTCTGGATGCTAGAATGGAATGTATAAGTGCAGGGAGAACACGGTCTTGTTCAGGTCTGCCAGGCCCTGGACAGAGCAAGTTCTAAGCGACCCCAGCCTCAGGGACAAACATAGCTCAAGATGCCTGGCAGAGCAGTACTGCAGCACCATGCTTCCATTTACACATAACGACACCCACATAAAGACACCCACTTGAATAAACCTCTTAACAGCAATGCTCCCTACCAAAAGGACCTATTCAGCATCCTCACACGCTAGCATAAAAGCCATAAACATGATCCTCTTGTTGAAAAAGAACAAGCACATACACAGAGAAGTGAAAGGCCTAAAACTGGACTTGGGCAGCTGCTGCTTAAAAGTCCAGCATTACACAGGGTCCGTTACACCACGCTGCACACGGAGGTGCTGTTCTCTGCTGCAGTGTGTGCTGCTATCTCTATTGTCCCTGTCGGCAGTCAATCTTTACGCCCCGTGTTCCCTGTGAGGAGCAGCCCTGCTCCATGCTGCCAGACTTCATTACAAATTAAAGCACAAGACAGCCCCTGCAAATCAGGTCATGGCTGGTGGCGCCACATCTACCGCTCAGCTCAGAGCCATGAATAAGCACAAACACTTTCTGTACTCAAATGTACTGTTCCTTCCCACAAATATTTGGTGACTCGAAAAACTATCTATTCTCCAATAATTTATTTACACAGATTTTTCTCTTCTTTCATCAAAATCAAATGATTTTTGCCTGCCAAACATCTTCTGCAATCTGATGACATCACTGTGCACCAGCAGGCAGGGAAAAGGTAATATTAGCCAATAACATCATGCTTGCCTCCCCCTTCCAAGAGAAAACACTTAGCTGTCTCAGAGACCCTTTTTCATATCATGTTTCACTTGGAAATACATCATACTACAGAAAGAAAATGCTTCATGATTTCTGATACACAAAGACTTTAAGCACTAAAACTTTGAAATAAAAGCTTAAGTAAGCATAAGAAACTAAAATATGTAGCTGATCAAGGAAGCTATCAGTTTTCCAGTTAACTGGATAAATTAAGCTCAAAGTTAAGGGCCGTCAAATAAGAACGGACCTGACCACTCCTCCTATTGGGCAGTTTCTCAGTTAACTGGATAGCTTTAACCCAGAATTGAGGACGGTCCATTAGGGATTTACCTGACCACTCATCCTATTAGGCAGTTGCTCAGTTAACTGGATAACTTAATCCCACAATTGAGGACTGTCCTATAGGAATGTATCTGACCACTCCTCCTATTGGACAGGCTTGACTTTGGCTGATAATAGGAACATCCCTGACCACTCCTCCTACTGGACAGTTTCTCAGGTAACTGGATAAATCAAGCTAAATTTAAGGACCGTCCAGTCGGAATGTACCTGACCACTCCTCTTACTGGGCAGTTTCTCAGTTAACTGGATAACTTGAGTCTAAAGTTGAGGACTGTGCAATGGGAATGCAGATGACCATTCCTGCTACTGGACAGGCTTGACTTTGGCTTAAACGATCAAGCTAATTAAGAAATGCTGCTAGACTTTATTTATAATGGTACTCCACTGAGGGGAGGTTACTTGAAGACTACTGCCTCACTGGTTATCTCATTTAGCACTGCCTACATGGACGAGTGATCATGAAAACCCCTGAGGGGAAAAGCTCTGAGCAGTGACCACGTTTTATTCCCTCACATTCACTACTTGCATTTAAAATGACACAAGTGCTGCACATTTATATTAAAAAAAACATATACAGAATGATATAATAGCCATATAATACATAAAGTCCTCATATGCACAGAGTCATAATCAATTAGAAAGCACACATTTGATGCTCAGTGACCATGCCGGATGAATATGTCCTTGAGTTTTTATCAGTGAAGTAGCTTCTCTTCAACATCAGTCATCTTTCCTTGCAGTCCTGAAGGGCCACTTTGCTCCAGTCCTCTTTATTCAACTCATGCAGGGCTAAATAATTAGCTGATGCACTGAATCAAAAGTGTCATGGCAGGAAGACTCTTCAGCGCTGGCGGTCCTTTATGACCAGAAAGACCAGAAGCAATGTGGTGTACATGCTGATTTAGATTAGGAGATACCAGTCAGGAAGTCCATTAATATGCCCTCTAGGTTCACAATGAAGTCGCTCATCACACTTGTAGTACTGCAACGCCGCACACGTGTTTGCTCCCACATCTGTAGTTCATTTGGTACTTTTATACATATTCTGTGACTGCCTACTTCAGAAAATACGATGGTTTCAAATGATGTATGAGTCACAAAAGCCAATATACTAAAGCCTCAAGGATCAAAAAACAATTAACCTGGTGCTAGCAATGATTGCCTACCATTGTTAATGTTGGAGTGGGTAATCGGGAGACTTGGGAGGATTCCCAGTGGGTCGATAGGGTTTTGGGCCAGTTACTGTGAGCTAATATAAAAACACGAGAACACTCAGACAAACTATAAAAACAATGTCATTCTATTTAGGTTGCAAACTATTCAATCTGTTATACATGATAGCAGACACTTCATCACTGTACCTGCATCGCTTTAAAGGCTACATGACTAACTACATCCAAAATAGAGGCGATACACCATGGTTCTAAACCAAAGGTCATAGCCAGGCAAAACCTTCACTAATTTTCTGTACTTTATGTTCAAACTTCTCTACAAAACAAAGGTTTTGCTCTGCATGGCTAACCTTTGCTCACTCTGGCTCACCAGGCTGAGGCCAAGCACATTCCGATTGAAAAATCCTCCAAAAATCAAAGGCATCTTAACATCTCAAAAACATATTTGAAATCATTGATGAAATCAGACAAATTTTGCATAAATAGTTTACAGAGTTTGGCAAATTGGTGCACATTTACAGAATGAGGGAGGGCTTTCCTTGTAAACATACACCATGCTCAGTGTTACGAACTACCCCTTTCATTTTTCAACGAGTCTCCTCGAAGTGTCTCCTCCTCCTTTATAATATATTTGGTGTGCTGAACTTCCAAGTGACGAGTCGTACTGAAACAGGGCCAGTGTATGTGCTGCTGTACCAACATGCCTCAAACCGTTCACCATAATACATGTGCCCAAGAAGTTATGGACCACCTCAATGAACCACTACTGACCTGGTGTATTTACTCCTATACTTACAAAGTGCTTTGATAGGGTAGTCATTGCTCAAGTCCAGCCCACGATCTCTGCCACAACTAACCCTCTCCAGTCTACCTATTGCCTTAACAGATTAACAGAAGTCTCCTCAGCTCACTCGGAGAAGAATAACACCTGTATGAATATGCTCTGTTGATCTCAAGCTAATCAATAAACCCAGCTCACTTGGGATGAGTAAAATATGTGTCTGTTTTCTGGACCTGGTGATAAATTCACCTCAGAATGCCAGACTTGGCAGGATCATCCCTCAGTCCATCAACACTGACACACTTTGTGTCTCTTCACCCATAACTGTGTAGCCACACACAAAAACCAACACTGTGATTAAATTTGCTTGGCACAGCTCTAAAGGGGCTGGTATCTTATTAGGATGAATCAGCTTACGGGAAGTTGCAACCTGCCTGCATCCCTGGAAGCAGACAAACCAGACAAATCTTCACTTGGTCCACAAACAGTGCGGCCACTTAGGATATTTAAATAAAATTTAAATATTCATTGAATTCAATGAAAAGAAGCTAATTCAAATGCCTGTAATCACATACAGCGACTACTAAATGCACATAAGAACATATCACTGCTGATGATAAATAAATAAAAATAACTTTGGCTTTAATTAGAGTTTAAAATGTGTAGAAAGGTTTGCACTCAGCCACTCGGAACAAAGCGATATGTATCCTTTAAAAGCTGAATAACTGCAATAAGCAGAAATCTTGTATAAGGTATCTAAATGGTCTGTAGCCCATACTGTCCCCTTAAATGTTTTAAACATTTGCACTATTTATTGTGTTCTGCAATTTAATGCTGAATGTCTATTTGCAATGTAATACACTACCCCAGTACTGTCTTTCTGTTCTCTGTATTTGGCAACACTTCATTTCTTGTTCATGTCTCAGGTAGCATTGTAACCTAGGGAAACGCACACTTCGGTTGCACCCACAATGGATGTGACAATAAAGTGGACTTTGACTTCCCTGCCACTGTCTTGTGGCAGGATAGCCTTACCTCCACCAAGATATTCGAAATCTAATGCTTACCCCCCACAAAGTTGGTCTCTAAGTACTCGATGATCTGGTTGTAGTCACTGACGATGGTGTCTCCATGGATGAACACAGGCACCTCCTCTCCCAGGTTGAGCCTCATGAACCAGGGCTCCTTGTGCTCAGTCAGAGGGAGGCTCACATCCCGCTCCTCACACAGCAGACCCTTCTCATTAATCACCAGACGTACCTGTCAGAGAACACAGACCAGCTTTAACTCCAGATTTAACACCTAAGAATAAAAATGTCTTTTATCATTCATTGTATTGTGCAAACCTAAAGTGATCAAATTGGCTGATTGACTATTTTGCTCACTCACTGCCAATAGTCAGTAACTCCCAAATGAAGACAGATCGATCACAAATAAACAAACATTACTCACCGCTTCTCTCTAAAGGGGTTACAGCACCAAGTCAGAAGGTAGAACTTTTGTTTTCTTTGTAAAACCTCTGATACACCGATCAGGCATAATATTATGACCACCTCCTTGTTTCTATGCTCATTGTCCATTTTATCAGCTACACTTACTACAAGGGTACACTTTGTAGATCAGACACAGCAGTGCTGCTGGAGTTTTTAAACTGTGTCCACTCACTGTCCACCTTGTAGATGTAAAGTTAGAGACGATAGCTCATCTGCTGCTGCACAGTTTGTGTTGGTCATCCTCTAGTCCTTCATCATTGGTCACAGGATGCTGCCCATAGGACGCTGTTGGCTGGATATTTTTGGTTGGTGGACTATTCTCAGTCCAGCAGTGACACTGAGGTGTTTAAAAACTCCAGCAGCACTGCTGTGTCTGATCCACTCAGACCAGAGCAACACACACTAACACACCACCACCACATCAGTGTTACTGCAGTGCTGAGAATGATCCACCACCCAAATAATACCTGCTCTGTGAGGGTCCATGGGGGTCCTGATCACTGAAGAACAGGGTAAAAGGGGGCTAACAAAGTATGCAGAGAAACAGATGGACTACAGTCTTTAATTATAGAACTACAAAGTGCACCTGTATAGTAAGTGGAGCTGATAAAATGGACAATGAGCGTAGAAACAAGGAGGTGGTCATAATGTTATGCCTGATCGGTGCATATATGAAAAAATGTGTTTTCTGCTGTCTTTTATTTACATGCACTTACCTGAACTCAGCGGATGAAAACTCACTTTAAGGATATTATTGAGAAACCTAACAACTGTAGAAAATATTTGCGATCAGCTCAAGTAATTGCAGCCAATTACATAATACTAATTGTGGCCGGCCTCCTTGCCATCTCACCTGTTAGTGAATGCACTTCACATCAGCACTCCTAACCATCTGCAGATAGATAACATAACTGTCATAGCAATTCTGATGAACTAGATCCATGTAATTGTCTTTTGAAGGGCACTAATTCAACGTTAGGCTTTAGGGATTTCTCCCCAGAGAAAAAAGCATTGGATATAATTAGTCTAAGCACCACAGTAGGCCATGCCTTCGCAGCGACTAATCACAAAAAGTGTGGGTAGTTTCCAGACACAGTTTCTAAATAAAAACTTTGTTGCTGTAGCTAACATATTTAAAGCTGACAATGAAGCATAATAGACCTACATCAAGTTCATTCTGGAGCCTATCATGCTTTTATAACTCTAATATTATCTACATTCAGCCACCTATGTAAAAAGCTAGCTGGCATTTTATCAAGCAGGAAAACTATATGTGATACCTAACATTAGTATTATTTGTCCTTATTTCAAATACAGTATAGTTGTTTCTTGCTAAATCTCATTAGGAACTGATTCATAACATACTATTCTTCATGATGACAATGTACTGTGGTCTAGTATACTAGACAGGTTTCCTTATTCCCTACTAGCAAACAGACAGGCCTAATCTATATTTTATTATATTATATTATATTATATATTATATTATACAGTCTTGAACAAACACAGCTTATTTAATTCTAAGACATGTCATGTCAGTTATGTCTTAGTTAAACACAGTGCTACAGAACATGTGGTGAGAGCAATAAACATCAAATTCAAGTTCATTTTTACATTCTATTTGCATAAATTTAATAAAATAAAATTTATTTTATCAGAATTTATCATGCTTGGGATCATCTTACTGCCTCTTCATAAGCTGAATTATATGAGGCAATAAAAACACCAGTGGAGTTAACAGATCATTAGCATTTGTCTGTTTACCTAAAAGACTAACTGCCTTTGTATGTGTACATTTCAAGCCACATGTGATCTACTGTAGCTTTCTGTGGTCTCGATATGGCTTGAATTTGAAGTAGTAACAGCATAATGCTGAGTGGAACGCTGTAATACACTGATAAAGGAAACGCGGAATATCAGCGCCGGTGTGCGCACCTACAATAAAACAATAACAAAAACAAGCTTTGTTTACTGCTGTGTCTTCAAGACTGATAGCTGTAAAAGAGCTCTGTTCTGATTAGCTGTCCTGCATTGTGCCTCATTTAAAAAGCAATCCAGGCATAAACACTTCTCATAACTTCAACGAGAAGGGCAGGCAAACCTGCTGCAAGGTGAATAGGTGGATATAAATATAGATATATGTAAATGCGTTTGTTTTCATGACATCATAGAAATTCAAAATGCAGCATACATTTCTATATATGGACTGGAGAGTGAACAGTATGGTTTAAAACTTTTAAGCATGTTTACATACTATATCAAACTCTTTTATTTAGAAAAGTAAGGGGAAATTATTTAAGGGCCATTTAAATATAGCATGTAATATTATAGTTCTGCCCTTTTTCAGACTAGCTTGTTGTACTTTGCAGCAAATGTAAAAACTCCCAACGCTGAAGAACCCCCTTTCCCATCTTTGAGCCCCTGCATAACCCTGACTGGACATTCACTTTATGTTCATGTGTGGCACGCCAAGTCCAATCAAACACATATGTACAGTGTAAACATTACTAATGGCCAAAATGAATTCAAAATCAATAAAACAAATGTCGATTTAAATGAACTGCATTACATTTACAGTGTTGCACACTGCTGTTTTAAAGAGGACAGGCAGGTTTGCTGAATTAAATATGCCAACAAACTGCACTGGTGAGTAAATCAGAAGCAGCAGAACGTGAACTGACAGTCTGTCTGGATCTAGACATCACACTATTGAATGTACTTCCTATAGAAAATAAGAAATGTCATTAAATGTGGGCTTAGAAAGCTAAGTCTCAGTGTCTTTCACTTATTAAACATATAAGCCGACAGATCCTGTAATACAGAGAACTGTGTCTTTGAGTTCCACTAAAGTAGGGGTCTTCAACTCTGGCCCTGGAAGGCCGGTGTCCAGCACAGGTTGAGAAGGACAGTTACCAAACTGTGCTGCACACCAGGTGGGCCTCCAAGTCGAGTCGAATACCAGTGCACTAAACCATCTGAAGGTCATATACTGTAGATAAACTTCATTTACTTACAGTTCAATCAAGAGACAGATTAATGTTTACACATACAATTAATACAGTACTGTTTAAAGGCGTAGAAACACTTGTTACTTGTTATATTATCATTATTTTCATGTTAATATACGTTAAAAAGAGATTTAAATATTATAAACTAGACACCAAATGGTATTTTAAGATGTTTTACTCAATATGTCAAGAAATTTGAGGCAATATACTGTAATTATCTATTTACAGTTGATCTTACGCAGCTTTTTCTGTTCTATCTACAGCTCTGTTCATCATCTTGGACACATCCACAATTTTTACTGCTTTAGCTTCCAATGAATTATTTGAAACCTGTAAAATTGCACAGGACTCGCAGACTCAATTCATTTTATGCATTCATATGAACACAAATTATTTTTTATATTGTTATAAAGACTAATTCCTTTCAATTCCAACCACAATAAAAGATGTACATCAATGTACTGCAGATTACCCTGTATAATTACAGCCTTCTATGCATCTATTTCAACAAGTTGCTTGAGGAGACTAAAGAAAAGACTTACTAGCCTTACCAGACTTACTGACTCTGGAACCTAAAGCATAATACGGCTTATCAGCTACACGCTGACACCTCCTCTGCATTTTGTTGTCTTCGCAAGAAAAGCTCTTCCTGCTTTAAGTACAGTAAGGAAGCAATCCTGCTCACTTCCACAAAAACAGAGCTGTAATTAAGATAACAAGTGAATGAGCGCTCGCCATAGAATGGTAACAAAAATAACCAGCTTCCTTGTCCTTATCAGGCTGTGCATAACAATTTAGCACCATGATCCATGTCATTATATATCATATAAAAGTACTTCATATTGTTTACAAGACAGTTTTGCTTAGATCAACACCTGAGTCACAGAGAATGAGGCTAGCATGTTTATGAAATCTGGCAGAGACTAGAAAACAGTGCCTGCTTGAACGCTCAACCATTTTTGCGTGCAAAGTTTAATCTGTTTTAACCACCATTAATGCAATCAAATTTCTATTTGTCCATTTTAAGGGCAGAGCACTGAGTCTGCACCAGATGGTCCTGTACAGAACACTGATTATTTGATTGTAGCGATGGCTTGATGGGTCGACACTGCTGTTGATACTCACATTGATCCGACAAACAACTACTAAGCATTAAAATGAGCCATTTTTAAGATCTAAATTTGGTTATCAAGCTCAAACTGCTTAGGGAGAAACACACAGCTTCTTCTTTCTCCTCCACTGTCTGCTGATATCAGCCCAGTGCCGAGAGCCGGTATCTCTGATAGTTATCCCTAGCAACATGTCTACACATCCTGCTTTTGTCTAAACAGGGTTCAATGGGTGACATATCACACTACAGCCATAACCCACTGCTGACTTGTTCACTGACTTGCTCTCTGCAAAGGACAAAGATGGCATGACACCAATTGAAAGTTGAGCCTCACTAATGCACAGTTCAGCCCCCTTTTTCGGTGGCTGAGCTAAGTCGTGACATCCATTAAAACTGCTGCCTCTTGCAGGCCACTCTCCAAAGGAGCATGCCCTTACAAGACAGATACAGAGCAATAGGCTTCTCTGAGCTGCAATGCCACTGACTGACGGTCCGTTTGTTTTCCCAGCGCTGGGCTACATCATTTTAATGAATTATTCAGAGTGTCGTCCTCAAGCCCAGAACGAGGTGGAACTCTCGAGGCCTGAGCTCAAATCTGACCATGTATTTTCCAGAATAAACCCCAATAACGAACCCCACATACACAGCACTGAGCAGCGGTATCGAGCTATGGCTTGTTTTAAGCCACTCAGGATCATTTTCCTCCCATAATCTGCAGCTCTTTTGTCATCGTTTCATATAATAAACCACGCAGCCAAACAGGCTCTGCCTCAACACGAGCACCAGGAGCAGGTGAATCAAACGTCTGCAGTGTTTATGAGAGAGTCTGACTGCAGAGCATGCAGCTAAGAGCTCCTCCATCTCCTCCATTTTCCAGCTATGTTTGGTACCTTCTGAGAGCTGAAGGACTGCGTCCAGTGGTACAGCACCAGCCTGTCTTTGGAGAACGGCTTGTGCTCTACGGCCGCCGGCTCGTGGCCGTCCTCCCCGTCCGGGATCCTGCCGTCCTCCTCCACGGCTGAGATGGGCCACCAGCTACAGTTGGTGGGGGTAACATTGTTGGAAGACGCCATGACAGAGGATGGTGTGCGTGTAAGAGAGAGAGAGAGAGAGAGAGACACAGGGGGGACCAGTGGAGGGAGAGTGAAGGGGGAGGGAGGAGGGAGGGAAAAAAAGAGAGGAGATGCGCGAGAAGGAGATTTCAGCACCACGTGCGGGGCATCGTCGAGTTAGCGTGCTTGGTCCGGTCCGGTCCGGCGGCGCTCAGCGTGAAAAGGCGAAAGAAATGAAAACTGAGGAAACTGACGCACTACATCCATGCGGCGCGCGCACGGCAACGTCGATGGCGCGCGCACCGAAGCACGAGCGAGATTTAGCGCGTGTAGTGCGTTACATCACGGAGAGCGAACATGCGCAGTGAGGTGTCTCGCGGTGATGGTGGGCTGCGCTGTGGCCCGTGGAGTGAAGGTCAGAGGAGACCTCACGAGCTGGAGAGCATCGGGGGATGGAGAAAAAACGTACTTATAAACGTGATTTTTTCGTTCTACACGGCATTGTGTTTTTCGGTTATTGTGAAGGAGCGAATGTGAAAGAAATGCGCGTGAGATGAAATAAAGTTTTGTTTGGATTCGAAAAAACATTCGTTTTACTTTTACTTCTCTCAGGTAAGGCCTAAGGTGACATGGTGATTATTTAACAAGGCGTGGCCGCGAATTAATATATTGAGGCCACGAGTGAAGTTTCTCGTGGCCACGAAGTAACATATTAAGGCAATGTGGCCACGAGAAACTGATTTCGTGGCCTTAATATCCCAGATAGCAAAATGATAGTGGTCCACTACTGGCCACTGTCCCACTAGTAGTTAAGCACAGTATTAGACCAAATGTAACTTTTTCTTCATTTTCTTCATTTCTTTCTTTCTTTATCCTTTGTCAATTATTTTTAGTAAATAGTAAACAGCTATTTCATAAATAAAGCCAAGCTATTATCATAAATATTTATCATAAATAACCAATCTAGCACAACAGCGTCAGCAAATCATTTTATATTAGGTCTAGTCTTTTTTTGTAATATTTGTCTGAATAAAATATTTGGTTTACTTTCCAAAATAAAAGTCTGACATTAAAATCTGTTTGAGGAGATTAAAAACAAGTGACAGTAAGTATCCAGAGCCATAGTCTGGTGGGGGTGAACCACCAGGGGCATCCAGTCAGCAGGGGGTAACCATATCAAGCCAGCAGACTGATACATGCTTGCTCTCTGGGTGTATTAATTCGTGGCCACGCTTTATTAAAAAATAATCACCATATCACCTTAGGGGCTCTGTACTTTCAAACACTTACCAGAAAGAAGTAAAAGTAAAATTAATTGTTTTTTCAATTCATTTTGTGTCCAAACAAAACTTTACCTCTCACCCACATTTCATTCACGTGCGTAACCGCTCCTTTGCAATAATATATTAAGGCCACGAATTAACGTTGAGACCACGAGAAACTGAACTCGTGGCCTCAGTATAATAATTCGTAAAAAAGCAATCACTATGTCACCTTCAGGGCTCCGTATAAGGAAATCAAAATGATGCTTTATTTTTCCAAAGCCAGTTTGCCCACCGTTGCTATACTTCACCTCAGCCAGCAGAGGGCTCTCCATTTATCTCTCCATGGTGCTGAAAGGGTGTAGACGGAGAAGATGTTGACAGTGATTTTATCTGAGGTGAAGATCGGAGGAAGAAAAGTCTGCCAGATCAGCACTCAACAACCCTGAACCCTACAAACCACTTTCTACTCAACACTAGAAACAGTCATAAAACATACTGCACAACAAAACCACCACAACTGCATCCTTTTTGTGCTGCAACCTTTTTTATGCTCTGTGACTCACGACCCTCCACTCAGGGTGGCGCCTTGTTAGTATCCTTTCTACACTTAGGAAAAGTGGAAGGTCCTGAACCAAAGATCATTTACTCCTCTTTCTGTGATTCTGATGAAGTTACAGTCTAGCGCTGCTAAACAGTCAGTGACCACAAGAGGTCGCGCTGGGCTCCTTTTCTCCTCACTGATCAAACGCACCTCATTGATCAAGGGTGGACGACACTTACTGTAAATGTCCCACTTTAAAATTGATCTCAAGATGACTACAGCATTATGTTCAACGCTTTTACATTGTTTACAGGTTTGTGAGGAGCATTTTATTCCCTAAAACAAGATACTGTGGAAGTGAAAAGGCTTATAGTGTCATTTAGTCCCTCACAGTTCTGAAGTATATCTATCTTATACTTTTTGTCATGATGAAAATGTTTTGTATATACATTGTCGGCAAAAAAAGGTACTGTACAGGTAAATTTTTCATTCATCAAGGCATAAACAATGCAACTGTCCTTCAAATGTATAACAACGGTTTTACGGTCTGTGTACTTCAAATACTTTTTTCCCAGGAAAACAATATGTGCTTGTACCTTTTCATAACGCAATAACAAAATAAAAAGCCTGGAGACGAGACAGCGTGTGTGAAGTCAATAATACTCAAAGAAATAATTGCAATGGATTGTGGTACAATTATATTCCCTAACTAAAGGTATTGAAGACGTACCCTTCAGAGGACCACCCAAGTGACAAGAGGGGTACTACCAGTGACAGTTCATTTTTTCTGAGAGTGTTAGATGCTGAACTCCAGCTATTATGATCAAATTGTCATTAGTCTAAGGTGGAGTAATCTTGCTCTACAAAACACTACAGTGTTTAAATCAAAGAATCTTTTACAAAGTGATGTTTTGGGAAATGTCCAGACTAGAATAACAGTAGTAAGCAAAAAAGAAAAAGAGTAAATAATAGAATCTGAAACAGACATAATTGTTAAATAGACTCAAAGTATAATGCCAACTCTAATAGCCTGTGTCAACTAAAGCCATCATTTTCACTACTTTGCAGGCCTAAACCATAAACTGTATCTGCAACTATTACGAGTAGCCCTATTTCATCATTAAGGGACTATTCATTTACACTGTACACAGGGCATGAGGATAATGAAACATAAAAAAATGTGAAAAGGTTTTTTCCTCCACGCTGTAAAAAGATTTGTTGTTTTAGCCAAAAAAGGGAGCCTAATATGTTGAATAGTAATAAGTTAATAAAACAAGTCACTGTCTTATATTCAGTTAACTTACTATTTAAAGCTCAATAAAATCAAATATTTAAGCCAGCAAGGATATTTTGAGGCAACCTTTAAGTTATCCCCTTAAATAGACAGGGCCCACTGGCAGGCCCAAAGTTTTATTACACACTTCTATAATCTACAAGAATAGCTCCACCAGTTTGCATTGAATGCCTTGTAGTTAATGAATAATAAGCCTGAGATTTTAAGGCGTTAAAACAACATGGTGTTTTGTTCTTTTTTTCAGTGAAGCTAAAAAATTAAGAAAGAAGAAGCTGCAGACTGCTGATCCTTTAAACAGATGTTATATAGAACTAAATATACATGAATGTGCACTGGCCTCAAAAAGTAACGCCATAATTAAGGACGTATCAAGTTCATTATCCTACCAAAAAAGGCCACATCAAGTATCATTTATTTTAAAGACACCATTCCAGAACTGTGATTTTCTTTTTGTCAAAGTATTATTTCAGAAGGCAGCTGGTGTGCTTCTGTTCATCATGATCCCATCACTAAGTAAGAGCTGACCAATACCACTGTAAGCAGCCCCAGACTTGGACGTTTCCACTTCCGTGCTTTACAGCAGTCTAAGTGGAGTCTGGTTGGAATTCTCCAAACAAAAGTAAACAAAAGTGTTTTTCTCTAAAAAACGTCCCTGCTGACCATTAGGATCACAACCTGATTGTTTGCCTTTCTAATGGGGATTGGCTTAATGGTTGCCATTAGAGAGCACCAGTTTCCTGTAGGACACCTTTAGATCCCGAGTCTTTTACACTGTGATATCAACCCATCAGGCAAACACAGAGTACCATTACTGACTATTGGAGACCACCAGGAACAGAAACATTTAATGGTTTTTATGATTTTTTCAGCAGGGTTTATAAAGTAGTCTACAGAGCTCTGCTGGTGACATCCTGTATAAATAAAAATAATGCAAGGCCACAACTTAGTAAGGCATGGGAACAAGATAATTAAGACGTGGCCACGACTTGGTAAGAAGTGGGAACAAGATCCTAATGCGTAGCCATGGCTTAGTAAGGCATGATCTCGTTCCCATGCTTTACTAAGTCGTAGCCACGACTTAATTATCTCATTCCCACAACTTGCTAAGTTCTGGCCACGCATTAGGATCTCGTTCCCACGCATTAATAAGGCTTGGCGACACATTTGATGAGATGTCACCAGCAGGGCTCCGTAGTAAAAGAACTTCTCTACAGTTTACTAATGGGTGGCCTTTGTATCTAGAACTATGTGAGTAAACCTGAATATAAAGTAAGGGGAACCTGGCAGTCTGTAAAACTGAGAATCTATTGGAGACTGCAGCGCGCACGCGCACTCCTGAACGCTCATTGGTCCCTTCTCTTTCCCACTCTCCTCGTCTAGTTTTTCTAATTTACTAACAAAGGAATATCCATCAAAACAGGAGTGCCTCACTGTTCACTCTCATGTTCTCACTCCAATGTTTATGTTACTAATCTAAAATCCGCGAAACCCAACTTTGTGTGAGTCCTGGCTCAAACTTGGCTCCGCCGTAGCTGAACCTGATAGGGACACATGCTCGCCCACCCCCTCAGCCGCCAGTCATCTGGCACGGCTTTCCGAAAGGGCCGTGTGGCAGGCTAAGGATTGGGCCGTATTTTTGGAACAGTGTCGGGATCTGGTAGCCTTGTTGGGACTCTGCTGAAACGCGCCCCCTCCAACCCCCCCTCCTCCCCCCGGGCAGAGCCGCGGAGACAGCAGCGCTCTCAGAGAGGGGGAGGCAGGGGAGAGCGGAGAGAGAGAGAGGGCTGTTCGTCCAGCCACCTTAAAAAGCCATGAAAGATCAACCGGCTCGACAATTCGATTAAAAACAACAGTTCTCATCTGAAAAAAGCACGTAACTGAAGAAAAACAAACCCTCCCTCTCCCTAATGTCACTTCATCCACTCTGACGAAGAAGGGAAAAAAAAGCTTCTGAAGGAAGTTCCCAAACCTGAACCTCTCAAAACTTGACGGATTATAAAGAAGACGAACACGAAGAAGGAGAAGAAGAAGACAAAGTTGGGACGTGGAGTCCGAGGATACAAAAGATAGTCGACAAATGATGCTGGTGCT